GACCCGGGAGGTGACGCCCGGTGTGGCTTCGCTGTCGGGGGGTCGTGACTTCCCTGGTTCGATAGCCACTGTGTCACTCATGATGGCGGACATCCTCAGGCAGCCAGGGAGGACACAGACGACACCTTTAGGCGAGGGCCAGCATATGTTTAGCAGTCAGCTACCGCTGTCCCTCCAAGGGAAGAAGTCGGGGCGTAAGCGTCACTTTCAGGCGGCTCTCCACCTGGGCGCCCAGGGAAAATGATGCACTGTAACTCGTGTCACCGAGGCGGTCCTTTAAACATCATGTACCTGCGCAGAGCAGGTAGAGTTTGCCCGTGTGGCACCCAAGAGGTGGGAGCGGCCGCCCATCCAGCGGAGCAGGATCTGCAGTGGTCCCCGTACGCCCTCCAGTGGCCAGAGAAGAAAAGCCATGCTTTTGTTCGCAGTTTACCAAAAATCTTTATTCTGATGATGAAAATTTAAACTCACCAAATGGGTTCACTTGTTAATAAACCTCAGTTTGCCTGCAAAGCAAAAACTTAAAACTCGTAACATGAACTGCTAAAACCAGATTCTCTAGCCCATTTACGGTTTATGTGATGTGAGCTGTAAAGGTTATCAGAAGGTCAGCAGGTGGCCTTGTGGTAGGGGGCTGGACTCCCATGTGGCGGACCATGGTTCAAGTCCTGGACCTGACAGCTTGCTTTCTCACTTTTCCTCTGTTTCCCTCTGGACAGATTAAAATAATAATAGTAACATAATGAAAGAAAATAAAATAATTATTTTTAAAAGTTCATGGAAAAAAAGGTTTAAAAAAGAAAAGAAAAAGGTCATGGGAAAAGAGACTCCTCCCCAGGCCTCCTCAGCATGAAGCTCCATGGCCCAGCTTCCCCAGCGGTCTGCTGCTCTCCACTAATACTCTGTGCTTATTCCAGAGGATGAACTGGGAGTACCCCGAGATGCAGGTGTCTCTGCCCCGCACACCACTGGGGCCAGAGCCATCTTCCAAGGATGCACCTATCACTTAAAACTGTGTCGTGAAACTGAATGTTTAAGGGTTTGTGTGTTTGGTTTCTTTTTTCTAGCATGTGTATGTGTGTGTGTTTTCTCTGGTTTTTGTTTTGTTTCTGTTTTTTAGGTTTTTGCCATATGGCATGTGTGCTTGCCAGAAAGGAAAGAGGCAGAAAGAGGGAAAGTGAGAGATCTTTCCACAGGGGATGGCCACTGCACGATCCCTTCTCCATTCTCTAGG